CTTCACTCTCACACCCAAAGTGACTCTGTGGAAAGTCCACCATTGGAGTCAGACTTCTCAGGAATTTGTTCTTAGAATCGTGGAGAGAGGAGTGTGGGTTTTATGGTAGCTGATCAGAATCATTGGTTAGTATTGCTTTTAGAAGAAATCACTACCCTAGCTGATGATTCATCCAGAGGGACAGTAGACCAACAGTCTGCCAAGATGTGACCTGTGAGGAAAGATTTGTAAAGGATTATAAACAACAGAAACACATAACAGACATGAATTGACCCACAGAGCCTAAACCATTTACACTCTGATTGGCCAGGCTCTGCTCCAGAGAGAGCCCCTGCTGCAACCCAAATGCCACCTACAGGTGCAGTGTCCTTCATTTGAGATACTGGAACCACAATGTTTCAGGTTTGGGAAATGTGTTTTTTTTTTTTTTTTTTTTTAATTCAGGGATATTTGCTTATACATAATATTTTGGGTTTGTGACCCCAGTGTCTAGCCATGAAGTCCATGTATGTGTCATGCATACCTGACATGCCTGTGCAGAAGGTAATCTTACACATGTTTTAGTGTACCTATGCTTTGACCACAGGCCATCCCATGAAGTCAGGAATAAAATTTATCATGGTAGCATCATTATGGTTCAAAAACTGTTGTGGGTTTAGGATTTTCAGCTTCTAACAATAAAGTAACTCTCTTGCTGATTTTGCGCACACATGAGACACACACACCACGTCTCAAAATGAATTTGGCTTCTTATCATAGTTCTTAGTGTGACCATGGTGAGCTCTCCCATAGTACAACAAAAACCTCTGTTCTTGATTAATTCAGTATTCTTAAACATTTAAATTTTTAAGTGTAAAAATATTCAAATTATCTTTTCATTTGGGGATATAGGTTAGTGATTAGAATATGAAGTTTATAAAATCTGAATTTAAACCTTGTGAATATTCCTAACATAGTGAGGGAAAATTCAAACAACCTGGCATCACTGCCACACTCCACAGGAAGGAGTGATTTTAATCTAAGCTGGACTGGCAGTTAGAAAACCATAGGACAAACACACAGGTTTGAGTGCTTGCTTTACGGTGCAGATAAAATGAATATGAACATTGCTGTTTCTTATGTGTGAGGCCCCAAGCAACAATTAAATGAAATTTCATTTAAAAGCCAAGAGGCAAATAGTGAGGTGCAGTCGCAGAGGAATCAAGTGAACAGCACTGACAATGACTTCCTTGAGCTACTTGTGAAATAAATTTGGGGAAGACTTTGAAAGGGAAATTCAAATAATGGGAAGAATTGTGATGACTTCAAAAATAGTTGAACATGTCAGTCAAAACGAGCCAGGTGGGGGCTGGATGTGGTAGTGCATGCCTTTAATCCCAGCACTCAGAAGACAGAGGCAGTTGGATCTTGGTGAGATGGAGGCCAGCTGGGTCTACACAGTGAGTTCCAGGTCAGCTGTGGCTACAGGAAGACCTGGTCTTAAATAAACAATCATAAAAAGAGCCAGCCTTACTGAGAAGAGTGTCCTGGTTGGTACTGTCACACTGTGCACACCTCACTATGCTCAGGTGGTGTGCACCAGCCTCTGAGGAGCCACATGGTAGCTTTCCCTGCAGATGAGGAGAAGTCCAAATAATGATGATTTGTCCTCTTAAAGGATCATGGTTCTTTTATAATCCATAACAACTTTAATGGTATATAATTAATATACCATCCAATCCACTTAAAGTATACAATTAGTGTGTATAATTTATTGGTTTTTAGTATATTTGTGGAATTGGATAGCCATCATCATGATCAGTTTTAGAGTTAAAATCCTAAAAGTCGCTCATTTGCCTTCTGTCACTTGATTTACCCATTCTGGACGTTTTCTTTAAATGTAGTCATACAATGTATGATCTTTTGTGACTAACTTCTGCACTTGATGTAGTTTTTACAATTCACTGATGTTGCAGCATACAATGGGCCCTCCATATGCATGGATTCCACACCCATGGATGTCCATGGCTCAGCTTACAGTACTTGAGTTTCCTTGGATTTGGGCATTCACAGGTGGTCTCGGAACCAATACCATGAGGGTTTTGATGACTGTTTATATATTGGTACACCATTCCTTTTGTGGCTCAATAATATTCCATTGAAAGGATATGTCTATATCCTTTATCTCGTTTGGGTTACTTCTACCTTTTGCCTATTAAAAATAACTCTGCTGTGAACATCAAAATACAAATTTTTATGTGGTCACATGTTTCCAGTTCTTTGGGGCATGTGCCTAGGAATAGCATTGTTGGCACTTCTGAAGAACTGCCAAATTATTTGTAAAAATGTTTTGCCATTTTACGTTCTAACTGCTGTCTGTGGGATTTCCAGTTTCTCCTCATCTTCACCTGCTCTTGTATCTGTGTTTTGATTGTAGTCATCGAGCAGCTGCTAGTTATAGCACACAGTGGCTTTATTTGCATTTAGCTCATGGTGTTAGTGTCTTTCATGTGCTTTTTGGACACTTGTAGATCTCTTTGGAGAGAAGTCTATCAGATCCTTTGCCAGCCCCATAGTTAGGCAGGTCTTTGACCTCTGCATACCTATCACCTGGTAGGGATTTAATGCAGACTGATTTGCCTATTCTGGGCCTTTCCTACCAACAGAACCCTTTGCTGCATGGTCTGCCTTCTTTCATTTGTCCTAATGATGATATTTCCATTTTGCCTTGAAGAAATGTCTGTTCACATCCTTTGCCTGTCTTTTGATTGAACAGATCTTTGTGGGTATTTGATGCATAAAAGAATGAATGAACCTATATTTAAAATACAATTTTCACAATGCCTATTAACAGAAAGTAATATTTATGAGAGTAGAGATAATTTTGTCTTGGGAATAGCTAAATGCCCCATGCTTGGAAGGCTATCAGACAACCTGACATAGTATAGGTGTTCAATTGCTAGTTAAGGAGAATGACCATTATAATTGCAGTGTGCTTGTGATAACACAAATAACCAAGGAAATTGCCCAAAAGTTATGTGAACATACTATTAGCTGGACACTATGTTCCAGTATGAGCATGTAATATCCAATCCATGGCCTATGAAGCAAGAGTGCAGGCCACCATGCCCATCAGGCAGCCCAACATCCTGGCTTGGTTCACTGGAACATGTAAATATTCTCAGTATTCTAACAGTGGTGCCAGTACTCATCTTTAAAAAAAGTAATTGTATTTGTTAAAAAAGAAAGGGGGGGGCATCACAATACACAACACAGTACACAGTTATAGACTGTCTTAGCCAAAAGTGGCCCATTTTCAAATCCTGACAAAGCAAAAACAAACAGAAACTGGAGAAATGAAGGACATCACCTTCCAACTGAACAAAGACTGTCTCTGAAAAATGGCTAGCTGGCCGGTGTGTCCCCAGTCATCTCTGAAGAGTGGCTTGCTGGTGCTCCTTCTCCAACTTCCAAGTATTACAAAGTTTTGCATTGCAAATGGGAGATCTGGGCTTCAATGGAAACAAACTTCAAGGGCTTGGGGAAAGTTTCAGGTCATGAATCTGACCAGTCTTTGGGGCTTCTTAATTCATAGTCTGCTAATTAAAGTTTTAGGCTTTAAGAAAATTATAATATTTCTCATCTTTATACCTTAAAGAATATTGTCTCAAAAATTTCTCCAGCTAGAGTGATGATAAAAGGCTCTTACCTCACAATACACACAAACCATTTAAACTGTAAGGCACAATTACAAAACAGGCATGTCCAACAACCTAAAATATTGTCACATGGTATTCTGTGTATCTCTGCTCAAAAGAACAAAAAAAACATTTTTAGGTCTTTTTGAGACAGGGTCTCCCTGTAGTCCCAGCTGTCCTAGTACTCGCTATATAGATCAGGCTGGCCTTGATCTCACAGGGATCTCCCTGCCTCTGCCTCAGGAGTGGTGGGATTACAAGCCCACCTCTCAAAAATTTTTTAAATTGTTGCAAACAAGTACTAAATATTATACGGTATTATTTCTTTTTAAGTTATCAATTTCTATAATTAATAAGCTCTGTGAAATATCATTTCACCTGTCCTGAGACAGGTACTGCATATTTTTCTCCCATGGGTTATTTAGCATTGTATATTTAAATTAAAAACGGTATGAGCGTTGCATAATATTTTCTCATCATAACAATAACATTTCTGCAGTCAAAATGTTTAACCGAGCCAAGCTGATCCCAGCTACTTGGGAAGCTGGGCAAGAGAATCACAAGTTCAAGGCCTGGGCAACTTAGTCATTACATTACAAAATAAAAAAGGGGCTGGGGATATAGCAATGGTAGAGTACTTGTCTAGCACTCTGAGGCTGGACTACCTGAGGCCGTAGGTTCAATTCCTAGTGAAAACAGGAAAGATTTTCCGCACTTAATAGAGAGGAATCCAGAATTTTCATAAATATTCAATATATGGACTGGAGAGATGTTGCTTTTGCAGAGGACCAGGTGTTGGTTCCCAGCACCCTCATAGCCATCTGAAACTCCAGTTTAAGGAGATCTGATGCCCTTCTGACCTCCACAAGCTCTGAACACATGTGGTACACATTCATACATGCAGGCAAACACTCATAGACATAAAATAAAAATAGATCTTTCTAAAATTATTTTAAAAGAGCCATGTTTTTCTATGATTTCATGTGAAAATGCTTTGAAAATAATAAACTCTACAGGTAAAAATAATAGAAATGCTTAATGTAAGTTTAAATCCAGAAAAAATAGTGGACATTTGCTGATTTTAATTGTTACAATGATATTGTGAGGTGAGCACTAATATTGTGACCACTTTGCAGGTAGGAAGCAATCAAATAGAGCTTTAATGACAGCCCCCATTCATCCCGAGTCTTCGGAAACGGAGTTATGAAAAACCGGCATCTCTGGCCTTCTGGTCCAAGTGTATTATCAGAACCCAGGAATGGAATGGTACCTGACCACCTGACTTCCAGGGATGACTGAGTGTCTGTGTTATGGCCCCTGCAGGTATATCAAGATCGGAGATAAAGAATGTGAATTCAACAGAAACTTCCGCCTTATCCTGCACACAAAACTGGCAAATCCACACTATAAGCCAGAATTACAGGCTCAGACAACCCTCCTCAATTTCACAGTCACAGAAGATGGTCTCGAGGCTCAGCTGCTCGCAGAGGTCGTCAGTATTGAAAGGCCAGATCTGGAGAAACTGAAGGTAAATGTTACTGAGCCATCCCCAGCCCTTACTCAGCATCACTACTGGGTAAATGACCGTTCAAGACACAGACATACAAAGTAGGATTCTTGGCTTCTGGGATCTCACAGTCTAATTGAGGAAAGTAAAGATGCATGTGAAAAGTTAACAATACAAAATTCCTCCCCCTGAGCTGCAGGTGGAGATGGACCAGATCTCAGGTTTAGAGCCTAAGATTAGGAAAAGCTCAGAGGCCTGGCACCCATGGAGACAGAGGTATAGAAACAGTTTGTGACTGAGAAGGTTGGGTGATAGCAGACCAGTTTAGTCAGAAGGATAGAATATACATATAGATGGTTGTGACTCATCTAAAAAATAAATGGTATGATTCTAAATACATTTTTAAAAATACTAAAACAGCATTAAGTATATTGAAAACAAAAAAAAAATAAAGTGAGCCAAGAAATGTAGAAAAAAGTCTATCTTAAACATAAAAGCAAAAATAATATAAAAAGGAGAAACAGGCTGACATAATGGAACACTAGTTCTGAGATGAAAGAAGCCAGCAGGTGGATTCCAGAAGGCCATTAGGCATACTGGGGGGAAGAGATGAGAGGAGAGTGTGCAGCATGCAAAGACGAACTGCAGTGCCCAGCCTCTGACAGGAATTTTCAAAACGCAAACAATGAATATCAGTTCTGTGGTATGAAGAGTAGAGAGAATTTCACTTGCTCACTTGGTATTTTGGGGATTCCAGCAGATATTAGCTCTTGATTCCTTCTAATCGATGAGCATGATTTCACTGTGTGGGTATAGACCAGTTTACTTATTCCCTTATCTATCAAGGGACAGTTAGGTTGATTCCACTTTAGAGCTATAATATATTTTCTGAAAGAAATTGATGAGAATTTGTATCATTTCTTGGGTTTTTGGTAGACATCACCAGGAGAATCATCTGGACCTGGGACTCTCTTTTTGGGAAGGTTAATTGTCGATTCAGTTTCTTTAATAGACTTACAGTCTATTCAGATCAGTTGCCAACATTCCTTCAGATAAGATTGAGGTCCGCTGTTCATTTTCCCAGTTCTATGCTGGATTATTCTCTGCCTGAGTTTGCATGGGACTTGCATATGCTGACACCATTGCCATAGAATCATATGAACAGGTTCCCAGGAGCTTGTAGGACTCTGTTTCCATGTGGTCATGCACCTCCTCCCTGGCTCTTACAGTCTTTCTGCCCCCGCTTCTGCCATGGTCCCTGAGTCTTGGGTGGGAGAAGTTTAATAAAGAGATTCTGTCCAAGGACCGGCATTGGGCAGATTCTTGATTTCTGCACTTTGGCTATTTGTGACCTTTTATGTCCTGACCCTCCACTGCATGAGGAAGCTTCATTACTGAGAACTGCGACATTTATTAGTGTCCTCTTCAGTGTCCCTGTGTTCTATGTTCCATGAGCCTTAGGTGTAGAGGTTGCATTGTAGATGTATCACTTAGGCTTGGGCAATTCATAGATAATGTCTGTGTGTTACCGGTTGTGGTACTTATGATTTTTATGAGTATGACTGTATTGCCTGCATGTATGGAAGTACACCCCTGTGATGCAATGCCCAGAGAGGTCAGAAGAGGGTATCAGATCCCCTGGAACTCGAGTTATGGATAGTTGTTAGCTGCCATGTGGGTGCTGGGAATCAAACCTGGGTCCTCTGCAAGAGCAGCCAGTGCTCTTAACTGCTGAGCCGTCTCTCCACCTCCCCTAATATTTTACTTTATCGGCATGTAATGCATCTCTTGGTTCTTAAAATGTTTTCCTTGTTTAGATATCTGCCCTGCTTGAAGTTAATAGAGCTACTCTAGCTTTCTTTTTATTACTATCAGAACCTCTGTCTCCATCTTTGTATTTTTTATCTGTCTGTCTTTATATTTAAAGTTTGTTTTTATAGGCAACAGACAGTTGGTATGGTTTATCTACTCTATCAATCTCTGTCTTTAATTGATGTAAGTAATTCACGTTCTAAGAAACTACTCATAGAGATTGAGATTATTCACCTAGCTAGGCAACTATAGATGCCACTGTTTTTCACTGCAATTACTCTGCTTTCTCTTTTCCTCTCTTTCTGCCTTCTTTTTATTTTATTTTATTTATTTATTTATTTTTATTATTATTATTTTTTTTTGGTCCTTTTGAGGCAGGGTCTCCCTCTGGCCCCAGCTGTCCTGGAGCTCACTATGTAGACCAGGCTGGCCTTGAACTCACAGAGATCTGCCTGCCTCTGCCTCCCAAGTGCTGGGACTACAGGCATACGCCACCATGCCCGGCTTCTGCCTTCTTCATTTTAAGTCAGCATTTTATATTGTTCCAGTGTGTCGTCTCTCAGTGTCTAAATTGTTCTGCTTCAAAGAAAAACTTTAATTATTGTTTCAGTGTATGCAAGGTACATTTACCACTAATCTAAGTCTACTTTCAGTAGTCCTGCCATCTCATGGGTAATGAGAGTACTATTACTTCCGCCTTCCTTTCCTTGATACCATTGTTGCCTATTCATAAGTTCCACTGGATACAACAATCCACTGTACAACAGTCCACTAGATACAACAGTCCATACTGGACATAATAGTCCACTGAATACAACAGGTCACTGGTTACAATAGCCCACTGGATACAATAGTTCACAGAATACATTGTTGCCATTATTATTTTGAGCAAACAACTCAGTCAGGAATAAGAAATATGCCCTATCTTCATTTATCCCTTCGGTAGTACTCTTCATGTAGATCTGAATGGTTGGCTTATTTTCTGGAAATGCCGCTTGGTTAATAGAGGGCTTGCCTAGCATGAAGGAAGCCCTGTGTTTCCTCCCCAACACTGTATAAAACTGGGTGTGGTAGCACATGATTGTAATCCCAGCACTTGGCAGGTGGAAACAGGAGGATCAGAATTTCAAGATTATTCTCCACTACATAGCAAATTCAACTTGGACTACTTGAAATTCTGTTTCAAAAAACAAAAACAGAAACAAAAACCTCATAGAACCATATCTATTTCTCTCTCTCTCTCTCTCTCTCTCTCTCTCTCTCTCTCTCTCTCTCTCTCTCTCTCCTTTCCTCTCTCTAACATCTATTTATTTTGTAGTGGGGAGCTGCCGTGGCACTGGTGTGAAATTAGAGGACAACTTCTGGGATTTTATTCTCTTCTTCTACCATGTGGATTCTGGGATTAAATCATTGGGCCTGCACAGCAAGTGCCTTTACCCACTGAGCCATTTTATAAACCCCCCTTTTTTTTTGTCTGAGAAAGCCTTTATTTCCTGTTTACTTTTGAAGGATAATTTGACAGGATACTGAATTGTGGGGTTGGGGTTTCCCACAATATTTTAAATATTTTACATTTTTTCTTGGTTGCATACCTTCTCCACAGAGTTCCATGTAATTTTTATCCATGTTCCTCCATAGATGAATTCCCCCCACCACCATGGATTTTTTTTTTTTTCAAGATTTTCTTTGCCTTTGATTTTTTACACTTTGGATGAGGTATGTCCAGGTGTTGACTTTTTGGTATTTATAGTATGTAAACTTCCTGCCTCTGTGGTGTCTGGTCATTAATAAAAAATCTTGGTTTGGCAAGATGGCTCAGCAGATAAAGGTGCTTTGTCATATAAGCTTGATGACCTGAGTTCAATCCCCACAACCCATGTAAAGTTGGAAGGAGAGACGCAACCCCACAAAAATTTTCTCTAATCTCTACATATATGCTGTAGAACACACACGCAATAATAATAATATTTCTTAAATCTTAGCTATTATTACTTTCAATATTCCTTTGCTTTTGCTCCTCTTCTAGGATTCTTGTTATGTAAGTACAAATATCTCACAGTTTTTTGGCATGCTTTTCCTTTGTAAATTTTTTTCTTTTCTTTTTGCCTTTCAGCTTAGTAAGTTTCTGCTCACATATCTTCAAGCTCACTGTTTCTTCCCTTGATGGTCTCCAGCCTCCTGTCGAGCCCATCAAAAGCATTCTTCATTTTTGTTATAGCATTTTGTTTTTATTTCTGGAATTCTTTTGAGCTTCTGTGTGTATTCCCCAAGTGATCTTACATGTCTGCTTTCTTAGTGGACTTCTTAGTTTATGAAGCATACTTATGTTTAATTCTCTAGGATAATTCTAAAATTTCTGCTTTATCTGAGTCTTATGCCAAGATTTTTATTGTCTCTTCAGACTATATACGTTTTAGGATGCCTTTTACATTTTTGTTGAAAGTCACAGATAATGTACTGGATTTTGGGTACTGACTAAATAGTTTCTGGGTAAACATTCATGGTTATATGGTTAGCATTTATTGTAGCTGTAGGGGTCAGAGGCTTCAGGTTCCTGTAGTATGCTTGTCCTTCCCTTCCCTGTTATTTCACACTTCCCCAAAATAACAACAACACAAATCCTCTCTTAAATAAAATGTGAATCTTGCAGCTGTCTCACTTTCAATCCATTTCTGTTATACCAGATCCAGCTGATACAGTTTTAAAGGCTACATGATGTATAATCTCATGATTAAATCTCCTAACGGGGGCAGTTAGCAGACTTAAGCCACTGGATTCTCAAAAGACTTTCTTAGCCTTTTCCAAACCCTTCCTATGTGAGACTAGGAATCTTGAAAGGCTGAATTATCTTGTTGCCCTTCTTAGCCCTGGTGAAGTGTTTCCCCTGGAAGGTTTTGATAAGGAAAATAGGATGCTCTGGGCATTAAGAGCACTGCCTTCAGTGATTACAGTTCCCTTGAGTTTACCACAGAATGTTCACTTCTGCCCAAGGCAACTGTGGATTTTTCTTTCATCTTTACTGTAAGAATGAGGCAAGGCTCTAAGAGATAAAATGAAAATGTGAGGGCTCACTATGCCTGAGCCCTGTGAAGTTTCTGGCTATCCAGCCCTGCCTACAGCAGTGGCCAGTGATGGTTTCAGTGTCCCAGGACTGATCCTCTGTATTTGACTGTCCCATTTCCAGGGTGGCAGCCAGCCCCAGTACCTCAGTTCTCTGGTGGAAGAATTCTTACATAGCCTTTTCCTTATTATGAGATGTAGAAGTGGGTCGTGCAAGCTCTTTGCATGTCACAGCCAGTCAGAGCCAGATATTTCTGATGTTTACTTGAACAGATTCTTCCTAGAGGTTCTTGGTGTTAAATAACGATCAACCCTCTGTACCTTGGAGTCTAACCAAATGTTAACATGCCTTCTAAATTTTTTAAAAGAATTTTTCAAACTTGTCAGTATGTTGTTTTTTTAAATAATTTATTGAGAATTTCATACATGCATATAAGGTGTTTTGATCAAGTCCATGCCCACTTCTTCCCCTCCAACTTCTTCCATATCACCCCATCACTTTTTTCTGATAACTTCATGTACTCTTCTTCTTTTTTTAAATATATTTTAAAAATATTTTTATTTATTATTTTGGTTTTAGGTGTATATGTGTATTGCCTGCATATAGGTAGGTGCACCTGTGTTGTGCTATGCCTGCGGAGGACAGAAAAGGCTATTGGGTCCCCTGGAACTAGAGTTATGGACAGTTGTTAGCTGCCATGTGGGTGCTGGGATTCGAACCTGGATCTTTTGCAAGAACAGTTGGTGCTCTTAACCGCTGAGCCATCTCTCCAGCCCCTCTTTTTTTCTAGTGGCGTTTTTTGCTACTCTAACATTCCCCTCCTCTGAAGAGGTAACCCTAAAATATTTTAAGGATTAGATAAAAGCTCCCAAATATTTTTGACATTTTTGGCCTTTGGACCAGAGTATGTTGCTAGGAGGACCAAGGACACTGTGACTTTTAGCCAAGAAACTGGCTACATTTCTTTGGGGTCTTTTTACCCCAACTGCCTAATGAATTCCTACTTCCTATTCTTATCACACCATCCTCTGAAGAGGTTACCCAACTTGTGGATAGGGAATAGGGTTGCACATTGCACTGGCTTCTTCCATGCTGAACAGGAAGGGTGAGGCAATTGGGGTACTCCTTCAGTGGGTCTACTTAAAAGACTCCCAAATTGCATAACTCTTATCTGTAGGGGAAAAAGAAAGTCCTTGACTGGTGACTGGGAGATATGAAGGAGAAGTAAAGGCAAGAGTAATTAGCATTACAAGTTCTAGACGGGGGACTAGACAAAAGTCAGAACAGGATAATTTTCAAATGTTCATATGAGAGTCCATTGGAATTTCTTGACAAGGGCTTCCAAAAGCATCCCTCTATTGGGTTCCTCCTCATTTTTCTTTTGTCTTCCAAGGCTGGACTCTAAAGTGATGGATTCAGGATTTGCTTTCAGGTATTTTGATAGCTGTTGGAGTGGTTAGAAATTAGTGTCAGTTCCCTCTCAAATGCTTCTAGATAGGGGGAGAAAACAAATTTATCCATCATTTTAGAACAATAGCAGATTGTCTCCCTTAGCTACAGGTGAGATCTGAAGTCCTACATCTGAGCAGCACTTTCTGGTTAGGAACAAAATCATCAATGAGAAATAATTGTTTAAATAACTTTTTATATAGACTTAAGCCTAATGTCTGGGAACTGTAATCCCTTGAACTCTTAAATATACTGATGACTTTACTCTGGTTATACTTTCCTTTTGAGCGTTTAAGACCATACAGTTGGCCGAAATAAATCAATTTATTTTTACACTTAAAGTCGTTTGAGTATCTGTTCCTCAGGGGTCACATAGATGGAACTGGTAAAAGAAAGGAGCCAGGGGCTCCTCCCAAGCCCATGTGATCAGTATGTTTTAATGTTGTGTTTTGTTATATGTGTATTGACTCCGTAGAGGATGTAATTAAGGAAACTTGCCTGAAAATGAGACATTCAATCATATTCCTCACATTCCTTGGTTCATATTAGCTGGTATTGACCAAGCACCAAAATGACTTTAAGATTGAGCTGAAGCACCTGGAGGATGAGCTGCTCCTGCGCCTCTCGGCTGCAGAGGGGAGCTTCCTGGATGACACGGACCTGGTAGAGCGACTGGAGACCACCAAGACCACAGCAGCAGAGATCGAGCACAAGGTGGGAAAAGCAGAGGACATCAATGGCTTTAATGCTCTGCTTGAGTCTAATGCTTGGGATAAGAGTTGTCAGTCGAAAAACATGGCTCTCACCTCAAAAGGGATGAGAGTTTGTTCCAGAACCAAATACAAGTGACCATGGCCTGGGAACATAGGTTTGGGTTATCTCAACTTCTATTGATCCAGTGTAGTGACAAGTTAATAGAGTTTTTATCATGATAGAAAGTTACAAATCAAGACACGTTTAAAATGTGTCAGTGAGGGACTAGAGAGATGATTCAGTGGTTAAAAGCAAGGGCTACTCTTCAGAGGACCTGGGTACAGTACCCAGCACCCACATGGCAGCTAGTAACTGTCCATAACTCTAGTTCCAGGGGATCTGATGCCTTCTTCTGGTCTCCATGGGCACTGCACAACATAGGTGCACTTACATATATGCAGGCAAAATATACACATAAATTTAATAATAAATGTGTTGGAAGCTTTAGGTGGGGGTTACAGCAAAGCAGGTAATTCTCTGTTACAGGCTGAGGAGCCGTCTGGTCACATTCTTAGCTTTTGCATGAGTGGAAGCTAGTGACTTGTTAAAAATCATTTTAAAGGTTTTGATAGTCACAAGGATATTAAGTCAGACTGGGGTGGGTGTGCAATGAACAGCTTTCAAGGAACTGAAAATAGCCCAAGATAATTGGGCTTTGGTTTGCAGCATTTTAACGCTATAATCTCAAGGCTCAGGTGCTTGGCCTTGCAGAATCTTTAATAGAGATGTGGTTCTACCATAATTTCACTTCACACAATTTAATCACATTTAATGATTCCTCTGACAGGACAGATTTCTTGTGGAATTCAGGCCAATTAACAAACTGCCCTCAAAACCTGGACTATGGGGTTGAGAATGGAGATGGTGCTGGGCATGGTACTTCAATCCCAGCACTTGGGAGGCAGAGGCAGGTGGATCACTAGATCTCTGTGAAATCCAAGCCAGTCTGGTCTACATAATGAGTTCCAGGACAGCTGGGGATACAGGGAGGCCCTGTCTCAAAAAAAAAAAGGATGGACTTAGACTTTCAGTTCCACAAAGATCCAATTTTCAAATGAGGCTGCTATGTCAAGATGTTGTTTTACTTGAGTGAACAAATTTGAAGAAAATGGTAGAAACTCTTGAAACACTGTAGCACTCAGCACCAATAAACAAATAACCTATATCTCAGTGTGTTGAACATATTAGAGAGATCTTTGGAGCTGAAGTTTTGTTTACAGGTCTATGGTGGCCGAGGTTGAGCAAGGAATTGTCTCCTGTGGTTCTCAGTGAATTATTTACCCTAGGAAAATGGCATTTTTCAAAAGCCAATACAACATTTCCATTGAGTGCGTTTCCTGCCAGCCATACAACCTGGATCCCGACGGGTCGTGTGTGTGATGTGTACTATGGACTTTCACAAGTGGCCACAACTCTTAACACTCCATAGTTTCCATCAGAATCAGACCCTTATTTGCTTTCTGGAATATCCTCATTACTAGGTAATCCACTAATTAACCACCAGAAGCAATGTCACCATACATCCACTGTATGTGTCTCAAATTAAGCTGGGGAATGGGATCCAAAATTACTCTGTCCTTTCAAGTAAGTGGCTCCTAAGATAGTGAAGATTAGGGCAATTAAGTAAATTAAGTCTTAACTTTGAGGCTAACTTCTAATTGTCTCTTAAAATGTTGCTTCCTATCTTCTTAATGTATCTCCATGCAGCGACTCCCCTCTCTGCTGTTGTTTTATTTCTCTTAATACAAAAATATTATGAGTCAAGTCCATAGAAGTATTTGGGAGGAAATATATCTTATAAAGCTATAGGCCCAGCATAAGCATTCATAGAAAAAAATAGGCCTTTATTTTAGAACTAGATATATTTTGGGCCTTTAACTAAAAATGAATATGTTAGTTGATGGTGGTATGTTTTCTTTTTAATTATCTCAGAGAATGTGCCCAGAGGCTAACAGATAAGAACAAAAGGAAATGTATGAGCATATGGGTGACCTGGTACAGTTAGAATCAGGCAGTCCTGAGACTCTTCATATAAAGCCTGCTTGGGAAGCCTAGCTATTGGATATGTGATTGACCTTGGCTACATTTGTAGACCTTGTTGCCTAATAAAATTCTTGGCACTGAGTTGACCCAGCAGATTTTTTAAGACCCATCCCTGGGAGGTGATCTAGCTGGGTTATTAAGGCCTGAAAGAGAGAAGGGAGGTAAGAAGGTGACATTACTCTGAAGTGAATTCTGTAGAAGCCCAAACAATTGGGTTCATTAAATTCTGTGGGCTATAAAGCAGCTAGTTTTGTCCATTCCCGCTGAAATTCAGCTTATGAAAAGTTGTTAAAAACTCTGAATTCAACAATTTCTTAAATTTTAAAACCTATTATTCGTTTGTGAGGGTGTCTGTGGATAATATATGTACATAGATATGGGCTCACATGCCAAACTGTTCATGTAGCGGTCAGAGGACAGCCCTCAGGAGTTGGTTCTCTCCTTCCACTGTGAGATTTTAGGATCAAGCTCACAAGTGGTCCAACTAGTGTGGCTAGTACTTTTACCCACTGTGCCATCCCACTGGCCTGCATTTAATGATCTTAGAAAGACTCAAGTACATAGATGCTATTCACGTTACCTATTTTACTAGTAATTCTTTCCTTTGCTTGTTTTGTTCTGTTCCTTGAGTCATGGTCTCATTCTTTATTGTAGGGCTGCCCTTGAATGCGCTATATCCCAGACTGAATTGGTAACAGTCCCAGTTCAGCCTCCCAAATGCTGGGACTACAAGGATGAACCCCAACTCCAGATTCAACTACTGCTATTTTCTCATTTCAAATATGTCTTTCCAGTACTAGGATGTATTTCCAAAGCATGAAGAGCAAGTTATCAATTTCATTCAATCCCACAACAGGTGAGCGAAGCCAGAGAAAACGAAAGAAAAATCAACGCAGCCCGAGAATGTTACCGACCAGTGGCGGCTAGAGCATCTCTTCTTTATTTTGTGATTAATGACCTCAGAAGAATCAACCCTATCTATCAATTCTCTTTGAAGGTAATGCTGAACAGGCTAAGAAAACCAACAACCTGAGAAAATCTATCCTTTTTTCTAGAAACTAGGAATTTATTTCTAAGCAGTCATGGTGGTTAAGGAGGGAGAAAGAATCAAGCTAACCACTTACTAAGCCATGATCACATATAACAGATGCTTTGGATATATTTTAACCCTAAAACATTCCAATAAAGTTTATCATTTTCTCCTCATTGAAAAAGGTAAAATTTTCAGATTTCAAACAAATTGCTCCTAAATTTACATTTTATAATATAAGAGCCAAGATTTCAGCCTGTGACAGTTTGATTCCGAAGGCCAGGTTTTGTATGCTCTGTACAACTGCCTCTGGGCAGGGTTCATTTATTCTGTCAGTTTTTAAACAAGTATTTATTACAATCAGTCATACAAGCTACTTATCACTGAGTGTACAGGTGGTTGTTGTTCAATAAAAAATATCAGGAGTAGGTAAAAGGGCACAAGGGACATGAGAAAAGACAAGAGCCTGGGGTGGGGAGGTTATAAGGAGGAGTGTGTGAGGGGAGCAAGAGGCTGGGGGAAATTTGGGATAAGGAGAGCCAGTAACGATGAGTATGTGTTGTTTAAAACACTTAAAATAACATGTAAGTAACAGCCGTGGTTGATAGCTTGACCTCTATATTAGTTTCAAGTAACTGCCTCAGCAGGTAAAGTGCTTGCCACCAAGCCTGACCACCTGAGTTCAATCTTCAGGACCCAAGTGAGGAAAGAGAGAACTGACTCCCACAAGTGGTTCTTTGACCTCCACACATGTACCATCACACACACACACACACACACACACACACACACAAGCCAGTACACAAAATAAAATAAAGTAAAATTAAAAATAAATAAATAACAAATAAATAAATAAAAAGTTCTAAGGTAGCGATACACACACACACACACACGTTTAATAAACATAGGAGGGTTTAACTACATAACGAGTGTTAGAGAAAACAGGACTGTGTGAGGCATGAAAGGGTTGGGGATGCCAGGGTGTAAAGGCATTTCTATGGCCAGAGGGTTGTGAGTAAAAGTGAAGGGAAAAGTTGTGAGACAAATTCCAGGAGGAGGGCATGCTGGACTTGATGTCATAGAGCTTCATGAGCCATGTGGGGGATTCTGCATCACATTCCATGTATACCAAGAAGCCACTGAGAGGCCATAAGCAGATGACTAGTGAGGCAGGAGACTTAGAGGCAAATAGATCTAGGTATGACTTGAGTCTGAACCCTAACTCCTGGAGATGGAGTGGCAGTGGCTGTGGGCTCTGATGGAGTCAAGTACAACTAGCACATCCCTGCTAAGATGTAACTAGTATGCAAAAGCTCTAACAAGCTGGTCAGGTTGGACTTTAGAACAGCAACAGCATGTGAGGAGAAGGAGCAACAGCACTAGTGATGCTCATGTAGATTAGCCAAATACTCAACTAGACTAAGGCATTATAAGACTGTAGCTACAGAGCAGCCCTCCTCATGAATCCTGTTGCAAAACTCCTCCAGAAAATTGACATATTAGATCCAGCCATATAGATAAAGCACATTATGTTATAGCTAAGTGGAATTGATTCTAGCAGTGCAAGTTGATTTAACATTCAAGAGCTATGCAATGCAATGCATCGTCCTAACAGAATCAAAAGATCATTTTAAATAATGCAAATTTCAACATGTGGTTTTTAAAAAGTGAGGGAAATCTTTCAGCTACATAGGAATAGATGGCAACTTCTCAACATGATCAAAGGCACCTACAAAAATCAGTGAACGATATATTTAATGTCAAAATTTAAATGTTTTTCCTGAAGAGTAGAACAAGACAAGAATCTTCTTCTCTCAGCATTTCTGTTTAACACAGCACTGGAAATCATAGCCAATGTGATAACGCAATAAAAATCATAGAGAATTAAAAGAAAGAAAACTCCTTTTCTTCAAAGTCTTAACCAAATAGACATCAAATCTATGTTTTGGGTTGGAATTCTATATATTGTTATGATGTTAGTTCTCTCTAGACAGATGTGCATATTCAATTCAACCTCAACCAAAATCCCAAAGGAGTTATTTTTTGTGGTGGTGGTGGTATTTTGTAGAAATTGGCAGGCTGATTATAAAATTTGTATGTAAATGTAAAGAACTTAAAATGGTTAAGCAATTTTTACAAAAACAATGTTTCAAGGACAGACTTGCAGTACCCAGTTTTAAGACTAATGATAAGCCTATACTACTCAAGACAGAATGGTATTAGCCTAAAGAAAAGTGAAAAAAAAATGGCATTGAATAGAGTGCAGGAGACCCACCAATTCAGTATCAGTTGATTTTCAGCAGACACCAAGACAACTGAATGAAGAGAGGGCAGCTTGACAACTGATTCTGCTATGGCAACTGGGGACCGTATGGATCTAAACCTTAACCTCTATAGTGAGCTCTACACAAAATTGATGCAAAATTAATTGGCCACACTGTAAAATTTCTACAAAAATATGAGAAAAATATTGTGCTTTGAGTTAAATATTTCCTAAGTCATTATATTCGATGGCTTCAGTTGTCAGCTTTGGAATCTCAATTCAGAAATTTCCTCTATCAGATTGGCCTGTGGCCATGTCTGTGAGTCATTTTCTTGATTGTTGAGTGATGAATGAGGGCCCAGCCCACTGTGGGTGGTGCCACCCATAAGCAGGTGGTCTTGGGCTATATAAAAAAGCAGGTTGAGCACAGACCATGGGAACAAGCCAGTAGTCAGCATTCCTCCATGGTCTTTACTTCAGTTCCTGTCTCCAGGTTCCTGCCCTGACTTCCCTCAGTGATAATGTGTACACTGGGAAGAGTAAGAAATAAACCCTTTCCTCCCCAAGTTGTTTTTGATCACAGCAATAGAAAGGTAACTATGAAAGTCATAATATAAAGCATAATGTTCATAAACCCAGTCTTATATTTAACAGTTTATGGTTTTCAAAAGATTCTTATGAAAATGGGAAGGCAAGTCAGGGACTAGCAAATAAGATTCACAATACATGTGTCTAACAAAGACTTGATGTCAGTATGTATGAAGAGCAAGCACAACTCCATCCTAAGAGCCAAGAAGATGTATGTAGAAGACATTCATATATACCCTTATGTGAATTCAGAAATGTTCAGCAGTTATTACAGAAATGTTCAATGAAATTGATTGAGATCTTGCTAGATGCTCAGTAGAACAGCTAAAATTGAACAAAGATAAGGTGCTGCAACTCTCTCACATTGCAGGAGAAAATGAAGCTCCATAAATTAGTTTTAGAAAACAATTCAACAATTTCCTATTAGGTTAACTATAGTGTACAGTTTCAATATGATCTGATTTTTTACTCCAGGTATTGACCTAAGAGAAATAAAAATACTCACGTGAAAAATCTGTTCACAAATGTTCATAGACTTTGTCTATGTAAAAACTTGGAAATAATCCAAAGGAATTACTCAAAATATAAAGGAATGAACTACAGGTTCACACAAAGACATTGGTTTAGCAGCAAAATGTTGTATTAAGAAGCAGTATCTGGACACTGGGAAATATATACCATATAAATCTATGTGAGATTATAGAAAAGGCAAAATTAATCCAAAGTGACAAAGGCAAATCTATAAGGTTGGGGCTGGGGATAGTGGTGGAAGCTGAGTATAAGGAGGCACTCCACAGCTGAGGACCTGAGTTCAATCCCCAGGACCCACCAGTTAGAATAGTAATGTGCACTTGTAATCCCAGAATTGGGGAGCAGGGAGGTGGAGAAGGGTGGATCCCTTGGGCATTCTTGTCAATCAGCATAGCCTACTTGACCAACATGGCACTCTGTCTCAAAAAACAAGGTAGACAAGACCTGAAGAACCACACCTGAGGTTGACCTCTGATATCCACATATGTGCATACAGATGTGCACCTAAATCCACATGAACATGCACTCACATAAATTAATAACAAAACAACAGAGGGCTGGGAATATAGTTCAGTTGTAGAGCACCTGACTCTCATGTGTGAGGTCTTAAATTCAATTGCTAACACTACAAACAACAGTAATAACAAAACTGAAAGTAAAAAGGTTCTATATCTTGATCATAGTGGTTGTTACTGTAGTGTATCTATTAGGCAAAATTCATTCATTTATATGTACATCTTATTATATATAAATTTGAAGTGAAAATATCAAGTTAATGTTCTGCTAAAATCATCCAATCCAGTGTTTATTTTGGAAGTTTTTTACTTCCATATACTGCAAAGTAAATCATTTGGAAGTCTTATATTTAGAATTCCTCCATGTAGAGGAACAGATGTACACAAAGCCATCCATCCCCATTATAACCACACATGAAATAAAGTAATAAATACAAAGAGTGGTTTAAAAAAGAACCAATAACTATAGGACATCCCAAAAATGCATAGGTGGAATTAAAGAAAGAACAAAAAACCTGATAAAATTATGCTAAGGAACTGAATAGACAGTTCTCTGAAGATCAGCAAATGGCCGACAAGCATATGAAAAAATGTTCTACATCTCCAATTAGGGAGATGAGAATCAAAACTACAGTGGAAAATCATCTGTTATCTGTTAGGATGGCTACTGTGAAAATAGACATGTTGAGATTGTGGAGAAATTGCAGTCCTTGTACACTCTGCCTGGGAGTACAAAATGGTTCCACCTCCATGGAAAAAAGTATGCATTTCCTCAAAAAGTAAAAATAGAGCAACAATGTGATGGTTCAATCCAGCAGCAAGTCCACTTCTGCCTACATATCCAAAATAATTGAAAGAGTTTCTGGATGAGAGAGCTCAACACTCATCTCCATTGGAGTAATATTTACAACATTCAAAAGGTGGAGGCGAGGCTGGAGAGATGACTCAGAGGTTTGGAGCATCAACTGCTCTTGCAGAGGACCCAGATTCGATTCCCACACCCACATAGTGGCTAACAACCACCCATAACTTGAATTCCAGGGGATCCAATGCCTTCTTCTGACCTCATGAGCATTGTACAACACACAGGCAGGCAATACATTCATACACATAAAAATAAATAAATAATGAATGAATGAATAAATAAACGAGACCATTCAAATGTCTGCCAGCGAATGAATGGATTACCAGTGTGGCATTATATATACAATGGAATATTGTTTAGTCTTAAAAGGGAAGGAAATTCTGACACATGCTACAATATGGTTAAAACTTGAGGCCATTATCCTGAGTGGAGTAAACCATATTGAAAGACTCCATTCATATGCAGCACCTAGAGTAGTCAAACTCATGAACACAAAGTGGAACCATGGTTGCCAAGGACTGGGAGAGGGAAGAATGGGCAGTTGTTAAATCGACAGAGATTTAGTTTTGCAGGATGAAAATTTCTAGAGGTTCATTGTACAGTTCAACACTTAAAATTGTTAAGGTGCTACATTTTTATATTATGTGTATTTTACCATAATTAAAAAGTAATAAAAATTTATATATATATATATATATATATATATATGAAAGGAGAGAAAGTGGTCTAGTTCAGTTGCTAGGAGGAAAATTTGGTAGATTTTGTAAAGTCATATTAACAGCAGCCATGAATCAGGTATGGTGGCACATACCTCTAATCCCAGCATTTGGAAGAAAAAAAACAGCAGTAGGACTGTCACAAGTTCAAGTCCAGCTTGGTTTACATAATGAGTCCTGGGCCAGCCAAGGCTACAGAACAAGAGACCCTGTCTCACACACAAAAAAGCAGCAAAGCTTTAATGAGCACTTAACTGTATGTCACAAACTGTCAGACTGTTTTAGTCACTCATACAATCCACATAAAAATCCTACCTTGTTCCCTCCCTGTAGATACACTTTCAACTGTAACCATGTGTATCTGAGGCTAGCTAGACACCCTCTAATGGTCACATTAACTCTCCTAGGCTTTCAAATTGCTGTTCCAAAGAGCCATCGAACAGGCTGACAAGGTGGAGGACCCACAAGAGCGTATCTGTGTCCTCATGGAGAACATCACCCATGCCGCCTTCCTCTATACAAGCCAGGCACTGTTTGAGAAAGACAAGCTGACTTTTCTGTCCCAGATGGCTTTTCAGGTGAGACCATTAATTACTTGAAAGTATCCCCAGACCCCAGGGAGATACCTCTATCTGGGATAGATTTGACTCCTGCCAAAGAAAGGCAAAAATTACCTTTTGGGAAACCTCTGATGACAGAAAACTTGAGTATGTAACAGCCTTTGGGTAGGGTGCTTTGGATTGAGTGGTTAACAGCACTCATCTGAAGAAATGCGAATGAGGCATTCTCTTCCTCTTTTCAGATCATAGAAACAAACTTTTCAGGTCCTATCAAAAGGTTCTTTTGATATAAGAGTTATGAGTCCAGAGGTGAGTTCTCAGAGTCCTTTTAAAAAGCTGTAAATGCCGGGCGTGGTGGCACACGCCTTTAATCCCAGCACTCGGGAGGCAGAGGCAGGCGGATCTCTGTGAGTTCAAGGTCAGCCTGGTCTACATAGTGAGTTCCAGGACAGCTGGGACTACAGGGAGACCCTATCTCAAAAAGACCAAAAAAAAAAAAAAAAAAAAAAAAAAAAAAAAAGCTGTAAATGGACTCATCCCTGTTGTTGCTAATGACAGAATTTCGTCTTAAGGTTGCATAGTATTTCATTACGTACAGTTAATTATGTTTTTTAGTATTTCACAATTTCTAAGACTAGATTTAAATTTTTCTCACCTCCAAAATAATTGGGGCTGAGAGATGGCTCAGCATTGTTAAGAGCACTGACTGCTCTTGCAAAGGACCCAGTTTCAGTTCCCAGCACCCACATGGCAGCTAACAACCTTCCTCAACTCCAGTTCCAGGGGATCTAATGAACTCTTCTGACATCCACAGGTATTGCATACATGCAGTCAATACACTCATACATGAAATAATTTAAAAAAAATTTTAATAAATAAAATTTTTTCACCTCAAAAATAATAAATGAGATAATATATTACTTAATGTACTTAATGCACCTATTCTACAACATAACCATATATCAAAGCATCAAATTTTATTCTATAAATCCATGTCAATTAAAAATAAAATTTAAAAATTTTAGAGTAATGAATAGATAAAAAGAGCCTCATGCTTCAGTTTTCTGTAATATCCTCTTACCTTTTTTTATGAATTACAAAAGTTTTGTTTAAACCAAGATGTCTGTGATATGGGTGGGGGGTGACTCCATGTTCTGCTGAAATAAGAATGCTATCCTTTCAGTAGCTAGCTTATTATGTGGCTTTTTATACCACTCCAAACCTTGAGGAAAGAGCTGTGTCTTACCTATTTTCTGTCTTCAAAAGGCACTATCTGAAGAAATTACTCTGTAAACCCCTGCTGTGCATAGTCATAGGCTGCCCCGCCATCTCTTTCAGTGTTTTTGATATTTATAGAGTCCATTTGGTCATCTACGTATATTTGAGTGTAGGTATTTCGAGAATCTGTGCTAAACATGAGCAAAGCATTACAAAACAAGAGCTCTGTCTTTCTGTATATTGCTCATTAACAGGAATGAGTCAAGCATGGTGATACATGATTTGCACCTGTATTTAAAGCATCCCAGGAACTGGAAAGCCGTAGGTAAACTGTCCTAAGTTCAATTCCTGGCAGTCTACATAGATCAAATCTTTATACCTATGTGAGCAATCACCTGTTTGTTGAAATAAATTTAGTTTAATTAAGAAAAGCTAATTACCCAATAAAATAGTTTGATGCATATTGCCTACCACCTATAATGCATCTTTAAATATGTAGGTTTTTTTTTAAGATGGCATAAAACTCAATATTTTTTATCTTATTAGTTTGTGCCTATGTAAAAATTGGGATTATTTTTATTTATGCCCTCCAACATGTTCTATAGACTTGTTACCATTTCTAGAATCAGACTAGAATGTCTGACATTTATTCCAGTTAATGTGTTTGTTTAGCTATATCTGTTGAACAATTTCCATTTCTTTTGTCAAGATAATCTCTCATATAAGAAAGATCTTTCATATGTCTTCTAGTCTGTTGGGTATAATATCTATGCCAGAATTGATACTCTGACTTCTGTCAGTCCTTTATCATCCAAGGACAATCCCTCCCTTTCTTTCACAATTTTTAAGATAAGTTTGACCTTAGACAGTTAAATATGGAAGTATATTTCATATCTGCTCTTAAATGGCATAGTTGTTATACTGGAAAAAATATCAGCCCTCAGACATATTTTCTATTAATTGCTGGATTTGATTTTGAAATCATGGGCATAAAATAAGATTCTCTATTTCAAATAGGGAACAGATACCTGCTGGGAGCCTCGGCAGGTGTGGCTCTACCTGTTCGGTTATGTCTGTTCAATGGCGACTGCTTCCTGTATTGTGATTTCTATGTAAACCAAATCAACCTTTCAAATTTGTGTTCTCTCAAGATTTTGTTGAGAAAGAAAGAGATCGACCCTGTTGAACTGGACTTCCTGCTTCGATTCACAGTTGAGCACACTCACCTGAGTCCTGTTGACTTCCTAACTACTCAGTCATGGAGCGCTATTAAGGTGCATTAGGAATTTGCTTTCATTTTAATTTTTAATTTTTAAAACTTTTTTATAATTATGAACTTGCTCATAAGTTTTAATTAAAATATAAAATCATATATTATCTTAGTAAGGGCATTCTGCCAAAATAGTGCAATAATAGTTTGTCATCTCTTTCCCTGTTGTTTTGTGTTGTGTTGCAGTCGGTGGCCCTTATGGAAGAATTTCGAGGCCTAGACCGAGATGTGGAAGGATCTGCCAAGCAGTGGAGGAAATGGGTAGAGTCAGAGAGTCCAGAAAAGGAAAAGTTACCACAAGAATGGAAGAAGAAAAGTTTAATACAGAAGCTCATTATTTTGAGAGCAGTTCGCCCTGACAGGATGATGTATGCCCTTAGGTGAGCAGTGAGCCTTTCTGGAAATGTAGGTTCACATGGAGGAAACTTAGTCCTAGGGGTTAAGAGTATCTGGTAGAAATGTTGACTATCCTTGACAAGGATGAATTCTGCTAGGATTTCAAATCAATAATCACTGCTATTGCTAAAATCTACTAAATACTATAAGGTGAATTGATCTACAGGCAGGCTTCATACATCCTTCCAAAAAGCCCAGTTCTGATATGAGATTGGGGCATGAGGAAATGATGGGAATATTCTTGGAAGAGGTCTGGGTATCAGCAGGGTTCAGAAGCCAGGAACATGCATTATCCACATGTAAGTTCTACCGTCTTTACTCATTGGTTACATTTTGGCTCTGAAGGTTTTGCCTGTCAAACAAGAAATGAACTCCTTTCATGGAGTCATGGTCCTATAACTTTACAACCAGCACAGTTTAAAAGCAGAAACCCCTGTCCACATTGAGTTCTAGTGGCCTTTATCTTTGCCCTCTTGGCTTCTAAATGGAAATGTCCTGCTTAATTCACACCAGGCTTATTTTAATTTGATTTACCAAGCAAAGTGTTCTCAGCCTCTTTCCTTTGTGCTCCTCTTTTTTCAGTGATATTCATGTGCCTCAGATTTTTCCTTTGCTTTGTCTAGTTCAGTCGATTTTCCCTTTGCAGAAGCCTCTGTGGAACCCTACTTTACAAGTTAATTCTGCTTAGTAGTACTTACTTTCTGCTAAATCTTATGCTGCTGGAAAATAATCCCTGCTTAATTGAGCTTCCCTGTGTTAGAAACACCCCAAAAAGCATTTGTATATTCATGAGAAGCCCAGCAGGCTGGAAAATTGCACTGTGGCAAAATCTAATGAACTGTTAATAAGTAATGGGGGAATCTGGCAGGAGGTTTGGGGACTACAAAGCCATATGCAGACAGCTGATGGTACTCAGAAGGGGGTCCCAGTAGCACCCCAAAATGCAATGTAGGCATCTGATTTTCAGCTTCTCAAGTAGAGAGGGATTTTACTGACAGACTTCCTACATAAATCCACCTGGATTTATCTTACTGTTCTATAATAACATCACCTATAATAAGCATGGTTTGCTTATTTCTTGTGCCTTGATTTAAGCTTATCCAAGAGATGATGCTTTTCAAGGTCAAACTCAGCAATTCTAGGGGTTTTGTTTGTTTTGTTTTGTTTTGTTTTGTTTTGGAGGGGGTTGTTATTGTTTTGTTTTATTTTTGTATGTTCTTCTCTTAAATAGAAATTTTGTGGAGGAAAAACTAGGTGCAAAATATGTGGAGAGGACCAGATTGGATTTGGGTAAAGCATTTCAAGAAAGCAGCCCAGACACCCCCATGTTCTTCATCCTGTCTCCAGGTGTTGATGCCCTTAAAGACCTGGAGGTGCTTGGTGAGTGGCCAGGGAGCTTGCTGGCCTGCCCTTCCTCCCTCCCTCTCACCTGTGGTCCCCTGCCCTTCCTTTCTCTTCAGTTATCTTTTTTTATTATTATTTTTTTCATTCATCAGAGATGGGGTGTATGGAAAATGTACGACTAATAACGCTGTACTCTAGAGAAATGCTCCAACGGAACATTCATCTGGTTGGCATAATGCAAGTTTCTTTTGTACTGTTTTCCACCTTTGACGATATGAGGGCCAGAGGGCAATTTTCTCCATGCTCATGTAATCTTGTGCCCCCTGTGACTAAATAATGGTCATTAGAGTAACTCTATTCGATTGTGCAAGGCACTGCCGCTTTGTGCTCTGGATTACTATTCCCCACAGCCTGTACCAGGAATACCAGGTTAATATAGCTGTGACCTGCTTGGGCTCCATTTAAAAGCAGCCTCACAAGGTGAGAGCTGGTGCATTTACCCAATGAGCCAATCCCTTCAAAAACTGATGCGATATCTACCACATGTTGCTCCTTTTTATGAGGGAAATGCGTTGCTACTCCTGCAGGAGTCCAGAAAGCTTCCTAACAATGCTGCCATCTATCAAAATGTCAAAAGCTTCATTATCATAAAACCAAAGGAACTGACTTCCACAGGCTTTTCTAACTGCTTGCAGGGAGGCAGCTGGAGAGAGCTCAAAATAATGCATGTGGAAACAACAGAGGTCTAGTTAGGATTCCACAGGAAAGTGACCTATCAGATGGCAGCTGTGACCACAGATGTACCTCAGACCACAAGATTCCAGACTCTTCTCTCCTCTCCTGAATTGACATTTGTGTCTCCCCACCCCCCATGTACTCTTCAACAGGCAAAAGACTTGGGTTTACAATTGACTCTGGAAAATTCCACAATGTGTCTCTAGGACAAGGTCAGGAAACAGTGGCAGAAATGGCACTAGAGAAAGCTTCCAGAGGAGGACACTGGGTCATACTCCAGGTGAGTATGATGTTTTCATGGGAAATGCTGGGTGTGAATTCAGAGGATGAAGCTCTAAGCTGCCCTGTCCCACAGGGAGGGTCCCTTATTGTAGCTCAAGGTGATCTAGGAATGACTGTCCTTTTTTGGAGCAAATGTCTATTGCTTTAAATTTTTTTTAATATTAGGAAGAATTACATTGTTCATTTAACCTGAAATACTGTAGCAGTGTTAGAGGATAAGCAGGCTTATAGAGATGGCATGCTGGTATCAGTATTGGAAGTTTGCGTGTCACTTCAAAGTTAACAGTGTGAACTGAAAATTCCCAGGGCGGGGCAGGGGGACACGTATCTTCAAACTGTACCTAGTGCAAGGCTGATCAACTGATTAGAACATTAGTGAGCATGGAGAGCTTGGAATATTGCATGTCCATAGCCTAATTGCAGCTTATCTTGGGCCATCTTTAGCCCCCTAAAGGCCAATTCCTTGCCCACTTCTGTGTCTGACTTAACAGCCTATGACTAATAAATAAAAACGTTTTGGAATATATTAACTTAACCCTAGTTTCCACTAACCAAAAAGCTGAGTGTCATCAGACAGCATCCGAGGCCTGTAGCTGAGCTCTCTGTGCTTGGCTATAACTGCCTATTTAATGTTTCTACGAATGTACTTGAAAAGTACTTTGATTCATGACTTTCTTTGTTCTGTTACTATAAAAACTTCATGACATTGCTTCTACATTGGAACATGAAATTTGAGGTAACCTGAATCTGTGTTCCCAGGCCGTGGTCACTCATATTTGGCTCCAGAATAAACTATCTCTTATCCCTTTTGAGGTGAGAGCTGTGCTTTTGTATCAACAACAGAGCGTTATATATATGCACAGAACTCTACTGTGCTCCTAAGTAGTTGCATAGAATGGTGTTTGTAAATTAAGGATATTAGAGCAGACAACCCCTGTAATGCCTTCTAGAGCAGACAAAAGCAGGTCTCTGATGAAATGACCCAGTGTCTTCAAGGCATAGTCTTCTTGGCCTGAGATTCCAACAGGAGCTCCAGAGACCCTGGAACACAGGCCAGCTCTCAGGTGTCAGGGAGCTGGGCTGGCTCCTGTAGCAAGCAAACCCTGCTACTGTCAACATGTCTGATGATGGACTTTTGGTGTGTGAAACAGTCAGCCCAATGATTCTTGAGGAAGCTATTCACAGACTACCGTGTCTCCAGTTGCTACAGCAAAGTTCTAGGGTCAGTATTGTCATTCATGACATAAAAGTGAGGAAAGTGGAGGCTGGAGAGATGGCTCAGCAGTTAAGAACACTGACTGTTGTTGCAGAAGACCTGGGTTCGAATCCCAGCATCCACATGGCAACTAAAAACTGTCCATAACTCCAGTTCCGGGGGATCCGACAGCCTCTTCTGTCCTCCGCAGGCATTGCACGACATGGGTGCACTTACCTACATGCAGGTATAACACTCATACACATAAAATAAAAATAATAAATAATAAATGTTTTAAAGTAAGGAAAGTGAGCCCTAGAGTGGCCTGTAGAGATGGGAGAAATAGAGTTACTGCTTATTTCCAGGTCTGGCAACAAGGGACCCTCTTTAAACTAGTCACATAAACACCATCACACAAAGGTTCAGCATTGGCTTTCCCTGGGATCTCTGGTATGGCAGTTTGATGCTCATTGCTTCTCTATTTGATATAAACCTAGTTATGCAGAAACTACCCAGAGCCTAAGCAGCTTTCTCTCCTGCAGGAAGGTACCTTTCTGGGTTAGTGATGCTCTCTGCATAGGTGAGTTTTCAGTAAAGACCTTTGCTTGGGAATTTGAAGCAGTGGATCCTCTTATGAGGCTCAGAATCAGTTGGCTAACAGTGGAGGGGTTAGTTTTCAGAGACAGTAGTTGCCTCTCAGGGTGAAAACCTCAAAATCTTCCTGCAGAAGAATGAGTTCATTGTTAAGCTCTCGTACATCAAGCAGCTCAGACTGGTGACAAAGCTAGGATATGGTCGTCCTCAAAAGAGCCCACAATTCAAAGTAAAAGATTTGTCCTATTTTTTATGTACGCTGAGCTGCCAGTTATCCTCTAAAATCCAAGTTGTTAGTTCCACCATTAAAAAGAAGTCTTGAAAGACCTTATTATGACAGACCTTATTATTCCAGACATAAAACCGTCATGTAGAATATGTTTAGTCGGGCGTGTCTATTCCTCACCCCCTCTAACTATACAAACAGTAGTTGGAGAAAAGAGGTTACGTCAAGCCTTTAGCTGTTCTAGTTTTTAAAGATTTCTAAAATCCCTTTGGTATGTAAAAGAAAAGCAAGTCTCTGAAGCAAGACTAGGGCAACACAATAGGAACTCGTTACATTGTAAATTATATTAAGTTATATCTGTATCGAGATATAATATGGATCCCTACATCTGGTCACATTTGGAAGTTCAAGTCTCAGCATATGAATTCTTGAGTGGACACAGTTCAGCCCAGGATGCTTCCTGTGTTGGTTGGTTTTTGTCAATTTGACAGAAACCTATACATACCTGGGAAGACAGACTCTCAATTGAACAATTACCTCCATCAGATTGGCCCACAGCTATGTCTGTGAGGTGTTTTCTTAATTGCTAATTGATGTAGGAGGGTTCTGTCTGCTGTTGGCAGTGCCATCCCTAGGTAGGTAGGCAGGCCTGGGTTGTATAAGAAAGGTAGCTGAGCAAACCAGAGGAAACAAGCCAGCAAGCAGTGTTCCTCCATGGTCTCTGCTTCAGTACCTGCCTCCAGGTTCCTGCCTTGGCTTCACTGGATGATAGATTGCAACCTGTAAGCCAAATAAATCCTTTCCTTCCCAAGTTGCTTTTGGTCATGGTGTTTATCACCACAACAGAAAGCTAACCAGGACACCTACCAATGCTCGGTGTTTGCCAGTGGAATGAAATGAATGATGTGAACAACTGAGTTGTCACAGGTCTTTTTGCACCAGGAATTTCAGAGAACATTTGCATCGCCATGCCCTTCTTTACTTGACTTCCTCTGTACTTTTGCAGCTCTTATCATTCTGTAAACTTCCTTTCTTTTTTTGGAAATAATTGCATATCTCTAGTTGTGATATTTTAATCACTGTAAATAAAACTTTTCCAGGGCTGGTAGCATGGCTCAGTGGGTAAAAGTGCTTTCTGTATAAGTCTGACAACCTGAGTTCAATCCTGAGAACCCACCATGCCAAGAAAAAACTGACTCCCAAAAGAAAGTTGTTCATTGTTCTCTGGCCTACACCCCCCCCAAACACACACTAATAATAATAATGATAATAGTAATAAACTTTTAAAAATTTATATAACTTACCCAAAGCTGAAGAGCAGGTGAGGTACAACCTTTGTACCTCTTTTCCAGCAGCAAAAGACATTTTCTTACCTGTAGGTATTTAGTGTTAGAGGAGAAAATTTGTGATTCAGAAAACTGAAAAACAAAGAATGATTATGTTAATGGAGAGAGAGAGAGTTATGAGAGAGAATTTAAAGTTATTGACTGCTCTGGGATTTAGGAAATAGAGAGCATTAGGAATATACAGAGCATCTTAAAAATGAGACATCGCTCTCTTTTTCAGCTAGCCTTTCTTCCTTTACATCTTTTGAGTCTAAATGCTAATAAGAAGGAATTTGAGTAGAGGAGGTTTCTGTCAGAAACAATGAAGTAGGGGAATCAGGTACATTTATGCCTGGTAGATTTTATATTGCCAGCAATTGGGTTTGAACTGCAACAAAGAAAAGTCTTAGGCAACTCCATTTCAGAAGTGACCCATGGATGTTTGAAATGTGTGCATTAGGAGAGACTTGGGTTTACAATGCCATCCTATGGAATTTTAGAGGATTTAACATGTTCGGTGTACCATTCTTTTTTTCCTGACATGAAAATTTTAAGTCATGGTTCTCTAAGAGTTCAGAAATAAATTCTAATACTATAATTCAGTCGTATACTAAAATTCACAGGAATCGCAAACCCCGCTGTCTTGCAGAATGTGCATCTGGTAGCCAAGTGGCTGGGAACCCTGGAGAAACTCCTTGAAAGATTCAGCCAAGGAAGCCATAGAGATTACAGGGTGTTCATGAGTGCTGAGGCCGCACCTTCCCCACATGAGCACATCATCCCTCAAGGCCTCCTGGAAAATTCCATTAAGATCACTAATGAGCCCCCAACAGGAATGCTAGCCAATTTGCATGCTGCCCTGTACAATTTTGATCAGGTAAAAAAGCAGAAGCGATTGGTCTAACAACAAAGTCAGTGTCTTCTCAGGAGACTATGGGGTTGTCATCAATGTATGTGTCTCATTTAGAGTGATGAAGTGAAAGCTATGTGCATGTATTTGTGTGTGTGTGTATTTATGTGTGTGTGCATGTGTGTGTGCATCCATTGTGTGTAGGTATTTTATTTCTTTTTTAAATTAGTAAATATTAATTGTGAAAAAATGAATTTCATTGTATTATTTTCATGCATGTATAGAGTGTACATTGATCATACCATTTTCCCATTACTCTCTCTTGCTCCCCTCTTGCTGGTCCCCTTCCTCTTCCCAAACTGTCCCCTTTTCTATTTTCATGTATATTACTGTTTGGAATTAATTTCCTGTATTCTTATTTTAATGACTAGAAATGCATTTGAGTTGTACCTAAAAACTAGTAAAATTATCACATAAACTAGGTAACTTCGAGAAACTTGCATCTGAAACATGTATGTGATGAGCAAATATCTCAACACACAGAAGGAGAAGTTGGTGGTGGTGATAGCAGTGATGACCTAGGAAAAGTTTCAGTATGATGCTTAGACTTTGTTTTGATATATTACTAAATTTAAAGCCCCCCCCCTTTCAGGTTATATCCATAATATAATCTGTAGTGGTTCCTTATCTTGACACTGTGATCAAAAGCCTGACAAGAAGCAGCTCAAGGGACAAAGAATCTACTTTGGCTCATAGTCTAAGGTGATACAGTGCATCATGGCAGGAAGGCATGGTGACTGAGGTGCCATCCATTGCTTCAGATGTTTGTACCTGAGACTCCTTGTTACATGGCAAGGTCAGAAAGGAGAGGAAAGAGAGGGTACCAGGGAGCCAGGGTTGGGATATAATCCTCAGGACCCACCCTCTAGGGATCTACTTCCTCCAACTAGGCTCCACCCCCAAAGGTTCCACAACCTTCCAAAATAGAACCACCAGCTGAGGACCAGGTGCTCAACACACGAGTCTGTCCAGTACATTTCACATGGAAACCACATACTCTTATGTATGTTTTCATTTTCTTCCAAAATAAATAATGCATGCAAATTAACATTAACACAATTACAATTATTTTATTTACCCAATTTGTTATATTTATCTGTATCATGCTCAAGTCTCAGCATTTCCTTTGTTAATATTGCCCTGAGTTTCTATTCTTCTTCTAATTACTTGGAAAGCTTTGATAAATAACATTATTATTAAGATAGTAGACTGAGCCCTATGGAGGAAATACATATGATTTGGTGATAAATACTCAGTCCCCTGTTAGGGATGTTATTCTTTTTAAAAAATTATTTGTTTTAATTTTTTATATATGAGTGTTTTGCCTGCATGTATTTAAGTGTGTGCACCATATGTGTGCAATACCTGCAGAGGACAGAAGAGGGCATTGAATCCCTGGTACTGGAGTTATGGATGGTTTGCTAACTGCCACATGGGTGCAGGGAACCAAATATGGGTCCTCTGCAAGAGTAGCCAGTGTTCAGTGGTTACACTGAGCCATCTCTCCAGCCCCTGAAATGGTATTTCTTATAAAGCACACATACATGTTTAACTTTTTCTCTAGGAATTTTTGGGCCAATACCAAAACCAATGAGAGAATTAGAATGATTGACTGCTTCAAGAATACAGTGCTAATGAATACAGTTGATTACTGAACGTTTTTTTAAAACATGTATGCATGTGTGTCTTTGTGAGTGTGTGCCACATATATGCAGGTGCCTGCAGAGGCCATAAGAGGGTATCAGATCTCTTGGAACTGGAGTTACAGGCAGCTATGAGCCACCCATCGTGGGTGCTGGGAACTGAACTCTGGTCCTCTGCAAGAGTGGTAAGTGATCTTAATTCCTGATCCATCTCTTCAGCCCTAATTGCTTATTTAAATAGAGTGATTTATAGCCTATTATAAGGAAGACTGTATAGACGGTAGGAACTGAAAACATTTCGTTGAGTCTCAAATATTGTAATGTGCTCTTTTTGAGCACTATGGCAGGCATACAATTCTTTTGATTATCTCACACTTTCTAACCATTTATAAAATCTTCAAGTTCTTTCCCAAAATAAGTACAAAGAAGAATTTTATATACTTACAAACTTATACCTTCCTCTGAAACCATTGTCTTTGTACATGAAAGTGAACATTTTATGAACAAGTGTACTTCTGCTCTGTTGTTCTTTAGTTTTTAGGTGAGGATGCCTTTGAGAAACTGGACACTCTCCCTAAGGCAGTGCACATCCCCAGATATGTTACACATGCTAATAGAGACACATTTCCTCAAAGTCTGTGTATAAATTCCCTAGTTAAGAATGCTTGCTGTAGCTTATTCAAGAAAGACCTCTCTATATAAAGCCATATATATTAACTAAAAGATGCACTTCTTGAAAAGATTTTTAATAACTTTAAGGAAGAAAATGTCTTCATAATGGAAAAAAAAATCTCTTAAGAAATAAGACTAAATTTGATCCTAAGTAGCAAAAACAATATAACCAGTGATGAACCAAAGATCTCCTTAAGCCTATTTTAACCAAAATGACCCAAGCAAAGAAAAACCTTACAGATATCTAAAAATGCTGACTTGCCATTATGTTAGAAAGAGAGAATGTATTTTTTACTCAGATCACACATTAGTTACTTCTGCTATTGTGGCAAAATACTTTCACAAAAGCACCATGGCTTCCAGTTCCCCAGGACACAGCCCATCATGGCAGTCAGGAAGCAGAAAGCAAATGAATGCTGGTGCTCAGCTTTCTTTCTCCTTTTACTCAGTCCTGGACCCCAGCCCATAGAATGTTGCTGCCTACATTTAGGGTGGGTCTTACCACCTCAATTAATCTGATTTAGATAAGCCCTCACAGGCCTGCCAAGTGGCCTATCTCCTAGGTAATTCTAGACTCTGTCAAGTTGACAATATTAACTATCACAAACCATCTCATTGGAAGGTATTCAACTATGCCTCCAGACTATCTGTGAATGGATTCCCTGAACCCTTTTATCAGAATCAGAGTTGGCTCTTCTTAAAAGATGTTCTCATAGGACAACAATGCTTTAAACAAGGTAGAAAAATATGCCTTCCACCAGAGAGTTCTGGAGGCAGGCCCCTCAAAGCTCATATATGTCACTGCAGTGTTGTCACCAGCCCAGCCAGTCTAGTTTCTCCACCGCACTCCTTTCAGAATGGGCTCATGGTGCTCTTAGGAGATGATGAGTGCAGCCCACATATCCATGCTCCCAACAGAAGGGTGACAAAGGAGCAGCAAGTGAAAGAAGGCCATGTTTACTTTCTTCTGAAGATGCTTTCCGCAAGTTAATACTATAGTCACATCTTTTCCATATGGCATATGTTTTTATTTATTTATTTATTTATTATTTATTTATTTTTATCTTTTTGAGACAGGGTCTCCTTGTAGCCCCAGCTGTCCTGGAACTCTCTATGTAGACCAGGCTGGCCTCAAACTCACGAAGACCCTCCTGCCTCTGCCTCCCAAGTGCTGGTATTAAAGGCGTGTGCCTCCATGCCTGGTGTGATATGGCATATGTTTTAAGACACCCAGCAGAAGCTGGAAACCAAGGGTAATACAAAATCCTATGTAAATTATGTTTTTTTTCTATACATACGTACTTGCAAATGTAGGATATAGTTTGCCCTTATAAATTTGGCACAGGAGGAGACAAACAACAATAGTAAAACAGAACAATCACAACACTATACTATAATAAGCAATGTCACATTTAAGAACTGCTTGTTTATGGCATTTTTCCATTTAACAGTTTTGGACTGTGGTTGACCCCAGCACTAGAGAAAATGAAAACTACAGAATTTGAAAAATAAACAGCAAGGAACTGATGCACATAATATGAACTTCTTTCACTTCTGTCTTAGTTTGTTCTTCATTGCTGTGACAAAACACTCTGACCACTACCAACTTGGGGAGGAAAGGGTTTATTTAGCTTATGTCTCCCAGGTCACAGTTCATCCGGGAGCCCAAGGTAGGAACTCAGGGAAGGAACCTGGAGGCAGGAGCTAGAGCACAGGCCATGGAGGAACGCTGCTTACTGGCTTGCTCCCCTGGCCCCTGCTCAGCCTGCTTTCTTATGCAACACAGGCCCACCTGCCCAGGGGTGGCACGACCCACAGTGGGCTGGGCCCTCCCACATCACTCATCAAGAAGATGCCCCTCAGACATGGCCACAGGCCGGTCCAATAGAGGCAATTCTCCAACTGAGGCTCCCTCAACCCAGGTGTATCAACTTGACACTAAAGCTATCCAACACAACTTCATTGGTAAAGTTAATCACATTGCTTTAAATTTAAGGGTTTTTTGGAAGGTGAGGGGGGAAGGGTTTATGTGTCCATGGGTGGTATCTGTGGGGAGTGTATGTGTATGTCCATGTAGGCACATGTACCATGCAGAAGTCAGAGGAAGATGTAAGTCTTCCTCTATCATGCTTCTACCTTAATTTTCTTGAGACAGATCTCTCACTAAACCTGAAGTTTGCTATTTGTTCTAGACTGGTTGGCAGTGAACTTCTGGAATCCACCCATCTCTGCCCTGTAATACTGGCTTAAAGGTGCAAATAGCCATGCCCAGTTTTTACAGTGGTGCTTGGAATTTGAATTCATGTCCTCTTGCTTACAAAGCAAGAGCTCTTATTTACCAACCATCTCTCCAGCACATAAATCTATTCTTTTAACCTTTCTTCTACTTTTTTAAGAATTTTATTTATTTTTATTTATGTATATGAGTGTGTTGCCTGCATGTATGTAGGTGTACCACGTTCATGCCTGGTACCCACAGAGACCAGAAGAGGGCCTTGGATCCCCTGTAACTCAAGTTATAGACAGTTGTTAGAACCTGGGTCCTCTGCAGGAGCAGCCAGTGCTCTTAATCACTGAGCCATCTCTCCAGCCTTATCTTTCTTCTTAAATTAGAATTTATCTACAAATTTGGCATGTACATTCAAAATGAATGAAGTTTGTTTCATATAAATGTTTTTTTCACTCACGCCTTCCTAAATATTTATGTAAATCTGATCATTAAATGTCTAAGATGTCAAAAGAACCATTTCTTGTAGGATACTGCCATTCTATACCTCCTTCAGCTCTAGAACATCTGCCTCTTGAGAACGTCATAGGAGTATCATTTAGGGTTCTTTTCATACCAAAATAGTCATATTTTTTAGAGTAAGAATGTAGATATTTTGTCTGGGAAATATGCATGAAGAAACAATTGGTAATTGTGCATGTAAAGTCAGAGGCTGAGTGCCAATAGCACTATAATATATGTCTGGAGACCTGTTCTCTGTTAACAATCATAGTTGTGTATTATTTTCCTCTCTCTATTGCTCTCTCTCTCTTTCTTTCTCTCTCTCGTATGTCTGGAGACCTGTTCTCTGTTAACAATCATAGTTGTGTATTATTTTCCTCTCTCTATTGCTCTCTCTCTCTCTCTCTCTCTCTCTCTCTCTTTCTCAACATGGTTTCATGTTATCCCAGGCTTGCCTCAAACATCCTATGTAACTGAAAATAAAGTTGAACTACTGATTGGAGTTGCTTCCACCTCCCAAGTGCTGGGATTATAGGCATGTACCACCATGCCCAGTTCATGCAATATTGGGGATCAAATCCAGGGCTTTGTGCATGTAGGAAAGCGTGGTAGTTTGAACGAGTGTCCCCCATGGGCTCCAAGTACTTGAACACTTGGTCCCAGTTCAAGATACTGCTTGGGGAGGGTCACGGAATCTTTAGGAGGTATGACCATGCTGGAAGAAACACTCTTTGAGAGTTCTTAAGTCTTGCTGGATTTGCAGTTTTGTCTGCTTGAAGATGTGAGAGCTTATCTCTCTGCTCTGGCCACCTCCTGCCACCATGCCTCCCCCACCATTATGAACTGTCCCTCTGCAACCCTAAGCCAAATGAAGCTCTTCTATAAATCGCCTTGGTCATGGTGTTTTATCATAGCAACATAAAAGCAAGTAATACAGCAACCACTCTATATTCCCAGCCACTCTGAAATGTTTATCAGGTAGTTTGTAAACATGCAACTATCTTAAAATGGAATCATAGATAGACCCATACTTTCTCTTAGAAAAACCTAATTCATGGTCTCTTCCTATAGCATTTATACTAGCAAAACATAATGAAATGGGCATTGGCTCATTTTTTTTTTAACACAGGATAAAACCCAGTTATATGAAATAATTAAATTAATAAACTGAGTTATTGTAATACCTTGATTTTTATGTCATCTGTAATTCAAGAGGGCAATAAGTATCTTGTTCGATTATAATTCTGATGTGAAATTTTAACTATAATTGGTATCCTAGAAATTTCACACATGTAAAGGTAATATTTTTTTACATCCTTAAACTTGTATAATTTATCTTTTCTTCTTTTGCCATCTTACATTTTATCTGATGTTTAGTTGTGAAAATTTATTTCTAATGATCATACATTTCTAGTTCCCATGAATTACCTAAAAATGGCCTAGTGATTTAGTACGACTTGAAGTTTCTGTTGGCTCTGGACTGTATGTAGCCAGGCAGTTCTAGAACTGTATTTGGCAAACTCTTGGATTCTGATGAAAGTAAACTGACAGAAACTGAACACTCCTCTGGTGTGTTCAGCTACAAACACAGTCTTAGCACAGCACCAACTAGTACCCTGGGAAGCCAGACTGGTACTTCTCCTAAACGTCTTACATAGCCTTGATATGTGGCCAAAGTTGCTAGATCCATTTTAAACATAAACTGGCTGAGGTTTGAACATCTTAGAGGTTGGACAGGAAGGTGTGAATTGGGGCCTCGTTGTCCCCTAACATCAGCTAGAGGGGTATCCTTGACTTTTTTTCCTTGTTTGCCACATAATGCTGCCAAACTTGACATTGAGTAAAGGACTTTAAGTCATAGATTGGATAAATGTTTTCTACCTTTTGATTTTAGTGTATTGGGGGCCTTAGTCATGTCCATGTGGCTTACTAGGATTCAACTTACCTCTGTGTTGTACAAAATTCCTACAGATCTCATCCACATGATGTGTATTCTTTCCATTGATCCCAGTTTCACTCAGTCATTACCACAGTGAATGTCACTCAGTTTACTGGAAGACCATGTGCTATTGAGATTGCATTGGTTAAGGTATAGGATAACCTGTTATAAAGAGAACCAGGGCTGGAAATACAGCCCAGGGCCCTTGCCTTGCTAGGCCCTTGCCTAGCATGTGTGAGGGAGGTTCTAGGTTCAAACCCCAGTACTGCATAATAAACACATAGAATCAAGCTGCAGTTACTTGAACAAGGTGACAGGCAGGCCTGTCCTGTGAGGTCATCCACCGTCATCAGCATTTTTAGCCCACAAAAAATGGAAAGGAGTTGCAACAAGTGCAAGCCATTTCAGTTTAAGCAAATGACATGGGAGGGAAATTATGTCAGTCACTTCTGTTCAAACTCTGTCAGCAAAACCTTGGTTATGTGGCACCTCTGGCTTCAAAAGAGGCTTAGAAATAGTCTTCCAGTGGGTGATCACATACAAGTTAATCTTGATTACCACAGACCTGAGAAGTACGGATAGTTGGGATTAGCTAGCATTCTGCTAGTGACAACACTCTGATCAAGAACAAAAGATGACACTAAGATCAGCCAAATGCTACAGCTTTGCAGGAGGAATGATCTCAAACATCATTAGCATGGTTAGAATGAGTTGCCTTGTTTTCTAGAGGCATTGTGATGAAAAACAAGCTTGGGAACGTAGCTCAGTTAGAAAGAGCGTTTAGCTAGCATGCTCAAAGCCTCGAGTTTGATCCTCAGAACCTCATAAATGAGGTGTGGTAACATAGGCCTGTAATCCAAGCACTCAGGTGTTAGAGGCAGGAGGATCAGGAGTTCAAGGTTATCCATGACATAGTAAGGTCCAGGCCAGCCTCCAGCCTGGGGCACATGAGACTTTTTCTAAAGAACAAAACAAAAATCTTCCTCCTAAATCAACATATTAGCAAAATCCAAATGATCTCTAGCTGCTGTCTTTGATAGACAGCTGTGCTTAAAACTGTAACTACATCTAGAGTGTATTGTCACCCTCAAGCTGTGATTGTTGAAAACCCTCACAAACTGTGCAGGACAATAATAGGATATTTCTTTTTTTTTTTCCCCCCTTCCCAGGATACACTTGAGATGTGCTCCAAGGATCAGGAGTTTAAAAGCATTCTCTTTTCTCTGTGCTACTTCCATGCCTGTGTGGCTGGGAGACTGAGGTTTGGCCCCCAGGGCTGGAGCCGGAGCTATCCTTTCAATCCCGGAGACCTGACGATCTGTGCCAACATCCTCTATAACTACTTAGAGGCAAATCCTAGTGTAAGTGCTATTGGTCAGATAACCCCTTCCAAGGAGTGGACTGAATCTGTCAGTCTTTGGGTGCTATCAAAATGGACCATAATTTCTCTTTTGAAGTGATTATTGAAATAGCTGACACTATACATGCATTTTCTCCCAAGTGTGAAAATAAACCAGATCAAAGGTTTTCCAGCAATAGATGGTCAAACGTGATAAGATAGGTCAAACCAGTTCTACATCAGCAGCTTATGCACACAAAAAATGTCCTTCATTATGTTAACAAAAACAGTGGTTTACATGTGCATATATGCCAGATTCATTAGGCAGGTAATGAAGCATTTGCACAAATGTAATTACATACAGCAGTTCTGACAGTTCATAACATTGCATTAATAATCACTACAATTAGTTCTGATGATGGAAGCAATTTACAGTGCGTCACAAGTATAAATAATGGTGCGTTTCCTGCATATGTCATTATTATGTATTAAGGATGCCACCTTGTTGTGACTTTCCCAGTAATGGTCCCCTTGATTTGAAGTTAAAGGTAGATGAATGATTTTATCTCAGAGCTAAAATGCAGTTTGCAGATGGGAACGGGAATGCCTCATCAAGATCAGTTGTATAAACTCTCATAAACCGAGTGATTGGATTATGGAAGGGAAGAGCCATTAGTTGTCTAGCTTCATCTCTGCAAGGAAAACTTTTCCCATTAAGTGAAATCTGTGGACATATTTGTCAGGCCAATCAGATGCTGAGCTCTAGGCCATGCTGTCTACAGAGGGCCTTTACACACTGCCCATCGACGTTTCTAAGGAAACAGCAGTTTGATATTCTTTTGATAACCATTGTTACAGATTTTTCTGTGATATTTTCTCAGGCTTTGGTGGCCGTTTGACTGCTAGGACAGCAGGCACACACAGCATGTACCACGGGTATGTTCTCCCAAGGAACAAATTCTGGTTATGTTGTTTCAGAATAAATAGTTTTTGTATGCTTTGTGATCAGTGATCCTTTTTTTCGTTTTGTTTTATTGTTTGTTTTTGCAGTACTAGGAATTGAATGTAGGGCCGCATACATGCCAGGCAAGTGCTCTACAATTGTGATACATCCTCAGCCCTCCTTCTCTTTTTCTTAACTTATAATTTTGAGATAGGGTTCTACAGTGTTGACCAGGCTGGCTTTGAAATTACTCTGTAGCCCAGGCAGGCTTGAATTTGAGAGTTTCCTTCCTCAGGATTCTGGGTAGCACCATCAGGCCCAGCTGATTTCAGCATGTTTTATTTAAACTGTTACACATAAAACTATTCTAACAGTCCTGGAGAGAGAAATGGATCATTTAATATGTCATCTGTGTCTCTTATAACTGCCACATGAGGCTAGGCCCAGGAAAGCAGTCCTGTTTCAGCTGAGCTCTATACATAATTGAGGTAGAAATGAAGGGGAGGAAGGGGAGTTGACGTGTGTTCGGCACATCGGCATCACTGTTGGCCTGGTAAACTGTGCAGTATCCTGATGCTCTCCCTACGGGTGCCATAGTCAACACAGCTTTAGGTTTTTAAGATACTGTTAGGTTCCTCAGATGCCTGGACCCAAGTCATTTGCCATAGAACATAAAGCAAATTAGTTAAGACATTTGGGGATTAAGTTATCCTGTGTACATAGTTTACATATAGAAAATAATCTTTGCAAGAAGGTATTAAAAGATAATTATTAGGAGGGTAAGAGATGACTCAGTGGTTAAGAGCTACTGGCTGCTCTTGCAGAGGATCAGGGTTCAGTTCCCAGCACCCACATGGCAACTAACAACCATCCTTAACTCCAATCCTACAGAATCTGACACCCTTTTCTGGTCTTCACAGTCACCAGGCACACACAGGTACACTTATGTACATGAATTAAAATATGCATGCACATAAAATAAAAATAAACTTCTATAAAGAAAAAGAAGGTAACAATTATGAGCTGGGAAAAGGGCTCAGGCAGTAAAGTGCTTGCCATGCAATCATGAAGACCTGAATTCAAATCCTAGCATTCACATCAAAAGCCAGGCCTGGCAGTACATGCCTATAATCCTAATGCTGTAGAGGCAAGGATAAGGAGATCTCTGGAGCTTGCTGGTCAGTCACTGTAGCCAATCAGAGAGCTCCAAGTTCAATGAGAGACCCTGACTTTAAAAATAGTGGAGAGTAATTGAGGAAGACACATTACTTGGACCTCTAGTCTCTATAACCATGCACATATGTGTGTTTGTGCACCCACACACCCACGTATACAAATACCATACACACACACACACACACACACACACACACACACACAAATTTTTTTAAAAGATGATTAGGCTTAGGAGAAAGAGAATCAGTGACTGAAATGAATAGAACTCTAGCTGATTAAAATCATGAGGAAGGTACATTTTGTCTATGGAAATATCAGGCTGGCATTAATTTAATCAGGATGGGAAAACAGTTAAGTTTCCGTCTAGCACCGTTCTGTGGAAGTGTCTGTGAGGCGGTAGAGAGGGCATGCTACAGTCTAACCACTTCTCTCATTTCTCATTCACATCAAGCCAGCTTAAGAGAAAGACATATTTGAGGTTCATTTATTCAAATTCAAATAAACTTGTAGCAAGTCCATTGGAGTAGTTGGGGCAATTTTACTTATTCTGTTCTGTCACATCATGCAACACAGAAGGCTATAATTACGATTTTACTTGAACTGTTGGGAAGCAATAGACTGCCCCTGAGGGTGCAAAGGTTCCTGTCTGGAAAGGCTTCATCAGAAACTGGCATGTTTTGCAAACCTAGAGGAAGCTAAAGGGTAGCACAGAGATGTGTGAACTCTGCTAAGCCAGAGAAGAAGGAGATACAGTGATTTCCCGAATAAAACATGGTACAGTGGTTAGTTACAGCCCTTAGAACAGTCCCATGTCCAGTCAGGCTATAGCTGAACCCGAGTCAATCTGTAGTATTTGCTCAGTTTTTCAGAAAGTGATTGAATTCAAAATGGACCCAAATACAAATTGATGACCTGCTACTTTGTTTCCCGAGTCACATAACAAAAATGGATAAATCAGGTGATAAGTAGATAATCCTTGAAGACCCTGAGATTCTGAATATGCAAACTATCATTGTATAACCTGTTTAGAAGTCACTCCACTTCCTTTAAAAACTTCATTAAAGTATGGCGTTGCTGAATTTTTGGCAAATTTGTTAGAATGCACTGAAATAATTCTCCCAGGAAGTTCTATACAGAAAATTAGACCATGTCCCTATTGCCTTTAAAAACCCTGGCTGACATGGGTTTAGGGCCATTGTGGTGAAGGTACCCTGGTCAATCAAGCTAGGGCAGATATTCTAGGCCTGGAAGTGAACATTTGCATGGTGTGATGTTTTTAATTGTCAACTTGACACAATCTAGAATCACCTGGAAAAGAAGTCTCAATGAGGAGTTTTCTAGCTTAGGATGGCCCCTGGGCATGTCTGTGAGGGAGGGACTTCTTAATTGGGTTGATTGAGATGGGAAGCTCCACCCTGAATGTGGGCAGCACGACTGGGCCCTGGACTATAAAAGAGTGGAGAAAGTAAACTGAGTACTACCTTGCCCACATTGATTTAGTCCTCTCTGTTCTCAACTGTGGATGTGATGTGACCAAATGCAAGTTCCTGCCACCCTGATGTGCTCAAAATGACAGACCATGACCTGGAATTGTGAGCCAAATCAAACTTTATAAAGTTGCTTTTGTCAGGTTTTTTTTGGGGGGAGGGGGTGTTGGTGGTGGTGGTGGTGGTGGTGTGACAACAACAGGAAAGGAAATTAAGGCAGGCTGCCTCTCCCCAGGTCCCATGGGAAGACCTCCGTTACCTTTTTGGGGAGATTATGTATGGGGGCCACATCACAGATGCCTGGGATCGAAAGCTGTGCCGGGCATATCTAGAAGAATTCATGAATCCATCTCTGGTAAGACATTTTAAAATGAATTCCACTGAGGAAAATATTCTGGTAAGAATTTATCAGATTATTTTCACTGTGTATGTAATGTTTAAATAGTCCTCGGGATTTGGGCCTTTTGTAACTGTATTCCATTCTTCCTTTATGGGAGTTTGAGAAGTTTTTAAGTGTGGACTCTAAGGCTCTTCCAAGGCTTAGAGAATCATAGTCTGCATTTTTATACTCTGTGTGTGTGTGTGTGTGTGTGTGTGTGTGTGTGTGTGTGTGTATACACACCGTGTGCCAAGGTGAGAGTCTCCCACATGCACAGACTCATTGGATCTTTGGAATATCCCTGGCAGCTGGGCCCAGCCGACACTGTTACTGTGTTGTACAGACCAGAATGCTGGCACACAGTGATTGGCCCCAGATACTTCAGTGAGTGTGGGCAAGAGCTTTAGCCAGAATACAAGCTTTTGATTTTTAATCCAGGGCTCATTTCACTCCCATTTTTGGTTTGTTTTGCCTTCTGCAGAAATCATGAAATATTCTAAATTTTGATCAGTAACATTATTAGATTACTAAATATATGCTTAAGAAAAATGTGGTGAAGACATATGTGAGGTGGTAAATTTGTTGTCCTGATTTAATCATCCCACAATGTAAACCTGTATCAAAACATCTCATTGGAGCAGGGAGAAATGGCTCAGTGGGTAAAGTCATGAGCACATACATACCAACACAATAAATAATATACTAAAAACATCTTGTATCTCATAACTATATGCAGTTAGTGTTCTTTAATTAAAAATAAAATTAAAGTCTATTAAGAGTAAAATAATAAGAATATCAACTAAGTATGCTATGACAAACTTTTTTATGGATTTTGCTTCAAATAAGCTGTAAAACATGATAAGGACTGAAGAGATGGCTCAGTGGTTAAGAGCACAAGCACATAAGTTCTTACAGAGAGCCAGAGTTCAGTTCCTGGCACCCAAGTTAGGCAGCTCAACAGTTCATGGATCCAGGGAATATATTGCCCTCTTCTGGCCTCTGCAGGCACCACACACATGGGCACATCCTCTACCCCACTCCTCTTACATGTGCACATAATTAAAAATAAAATCTTTTTTAAATGCAAAAACAAGAAACCAACATTAAGGAGTATGGAATCCCCATTCATGTTTTATTTGTGATGGTAAAGCCCTATAGCTATGTTTGGGGGGTGAAAATAAGGAAAAGTGCCAGGAGCATGCCTTTAATCCCAGCACTGTGGAGGCAGAGGCAGGCAGATCTCTGTGAGTGTCAAGGCCAGTGGGGGCTATAGAGAGGCCCTGTCTCAAAACAAAAAATAAATAAATAAGGAAAAGTGTGTTGATTTGAGTCCTGGTTCTTGCTCCTTCTGTGAGAAACAGGTAGGTTACCACTGTGGCAGAATTTCAAAAGATTGGACCTACTTTTCTTGCTTACCATCTAACTAACACTATATCTGTCTTGAAATGATTCACGACCAGGCTGTGTTTCCTGGAGAAAGTGTTCCATTCTTCTTTCTTGTACTATAGAAGCTGAGGCAGTGACCACGCTTTCCTCATGTTCACTGGCTCTCAAACGAGGCTCAAGTTCAGCGGCATTTTCTATTTATTGCTTGAAAATCCCAAGGTATTTGTGTTAGCTTCCCATCACTGTAAAAAAAAAAAAAAAAAAATACCTGAGTTATGCAGCTTAAATGAAGGGAAGAGGTTTTTTGGCCTTTGATTTTGGAAGCTGCAGCCTTATGTGTGTGGTGGCACACAGTACATCAATGTGGGAGCTTGTGGCTCAGAGAGAGTATTTGTTTCATAGCAAGAGAGAATCAAAGAAGAAGGGGCCAGGGGGTCCCTATATCTCCTTCAAGGACATGCCCCCAATGATTTCCTTTCCACCTCCCAATAGTGCTGTAGTCTAATGATCAAGCTTTACTCTAATAGCCTTTGGGGGAACACTTCCAAATCAGAGCAGCACCCCACACCATCTAAATTCTATTCCCTGATCCGAAAGGCACCATCTTGGTTTAGAGCAGTCCCAGAAGACTGTTGGTTTGTTGGTTTGTTTTTGATGATTTGAGCAACTTTCTATTTATAGTTTCTATCCAAACTTCACCTCGGAGAAACATTGTATAAACAAGAAGTAACATAATCATGTATAGAGAACAGTGTATTGTAGCCTAATAAAGAAAACCGAGCACAGATTACTGTTTACATCTTTAAATAGCATTGACCAGTTTGGGGATTAATTAGGTCTTTCTCTTGATTCTGAGTCTCCTGATCTTCCTTTCTCCCAACAGCAGGATTTCACATGTCAGAAGGATACTTACGATTTAACAAAATTAGAAGTTGCTCCTCAGAAGAGGTCTGGGAGCAAGTTACCATGGAGATGTGAAAGATAAACAGTGCTCTAAAGAAACCTTTACAGAGGCTTAATTCTCCAAAGGATGGTGGGGGAGGTATAGGGGCAGAGTGGGAACTTGGGGAATGTTCCCTCCCCTGGCTCTGACCGGTGACTAAAGGAAGAATTACTGGTGCCAAAAGAAATCGTTCATTAACTTTCACAAGGCTGAGCGCCTATTCACATAATTGTCAATAAATGTAGAGAAACCTGAGGGCATCACTGGTGTATGCAAACCCTTTAGAAGCATAGGTACCTGAGCTTTCCTACAGAGCTGGCAAGATCCTTAGGGTCAAAATGTCTCATTTGCACTGGCATCCCCACTCTGCAGTGCCACTGTTCTCTCACAGGGAAATGAACAGGCTTCCTGATTCCATGTCAGAGGCTGCACATTCCAGTTATTTTATTCTCCCGCAAATCTTACCTGCTTGAGCTGTTCCATCATTAGCAATGTATCTAACACCAGTATCCACAGGATGTCTTTTTGCTCCTTCTCACATTGATTAATGTATTTGGAAGTTAATATCTTTGGTTGCATTGGAACATGATCCCAAACCAGCCCATGAATGGACGGGGTTGAAAGTTCTGCTCTTTTCAAAAGACCTGGACTCCTTTCAGTGATATCTTGCGGTTAGAAAGATGAGCTTCTTGTTAGATAAATGAGTTTGGATTCAGAATTCTCCAAAGGCAGTGTACCTTAAAGGGCCTGTGGGTAATGTGAAGGACAAAAATATTTTGTCATATAACACATGCATAAATAATGAATACAGTAAATTGCTTTAAGAAACAAGGTACAGGCCACCTGAATGCTATCATATAGTACAAATTATTTGGGTAATATAGGGTAATAATTAAGAACCCAGGTTTAGAGTAGAAAAGAAAACCCCATGAGTCCAAATTCAAGTCCTTCCTTGAGTTTGTTGTATAATCTGAGTCGTTCCTGAACTTCTGAGCTGTAGTTTCATTATTAGAAAAGAAGAATGACCAACTCAAGAATTTATTATGAGGGTTAAACACTGAAGCAGTATTAAAACAGTGTGCTTATACATAGGAAATACTTTGATTAAAAAGTATAAATTTTT